CACCCTGTCCAAAGCACAGAAGAATGAAGAAAATCAAACTTGCATGGAAATAGTTATTTTCATGGGCTCACCAACCATGAGGACCTCAGCCTTCACATCCTGAGACCAGAAGAACTAGATGGTGCCCAGCCACCACTACTAACAGCTCTGAATAGGATCGCCTTAGCAGGCCTGGTGAAAGGGCAGGACCAGCCCCTATAAAAAAACATCGTGCTTGGTAATGCACAGTGTCCGTGAAAAAGAGGAGGGCCTTCCACGCGATGCATTGACACAATGACTACAACCATGAGCTCAATTACGAGGACCAGACAGTGTTTGAGTGTATTGCCCATGGGGTCCATATGATTCAAAACAGATGGTTGACCATATGATTCAATGGAAACTAACAACAACAACATTGATTGACTGAGAAGTAAGCACACAGGGTGAGTTCAGTTCCAGGCCTGAGGTAAACAGAAAAGGTTTCCCCAGGATGTCCCCCATAATATATGCCAAACCTAATGTGCTGTTTGCAAACACATGGCCACTGATTATACAATTGGAGGTCAACTGCTTAAAGGTTATCTGCCTGAAGGCTGTCAGCCATCTAAGGCAATCAGGCCCTATGGTCCGTCCCATCCTAAGTAGATCCCACTCCCTTCTGATAAGGATAATGGATTGTTCCCCTGAAGGAGAACCCAAAGACACAGAAGGTCAAGCCAACCCAGGGATGACCAAGGCTAGGCCGCCATCTTGACTCTAGAGCCCGCCTATCTTGTTACGCGTATGCCTTCCTGTCATGCATATGCCTATTGTACAACCCCTTCCTGTTATTAGGGGACTGGCATGCCCTACGAGTTGGAAATAAGCCTTGGTTGGAAATATATTCTCTCCCTGCGTGGATCTGGCTCCTGAAGTCATGAGCCAGTCTGGAGGTGAGCACTTGCATGCTTTATCTTGTCTGATGTCTCTTTAATTTTTACCTCTCAATTATACAACCACCCGTTGGACCTGTTTGATTGCGGGGGTTGGTACCCCACACAGACCAGAAGGGTGGCTAGGAGTCATAGTCTTGGGAGTTCCACCAGTCTCTATCTGACCAGTAAACCTGGTTTTTGGTAATGATTTTGAGTTTTGTTTCTTTTCTACCCAGCCTCCTCCTTCACAGATTAACCAATGTTAAGTTTACTGTTTACCTTCTCTTTTCTTTAAAAATGCTAATCAAACCATATATAAATTTATATGTGTTTGTTTTTTCCTGTTATTTTATATATTATTCATAATTGGATTTTTTTCCTCTTACATCATTCCAGGTCATTCATGTGGATCTAACAAATTACTTTTTGAAAGATTGAAGAATTCACTTATGGGCATGATGAAAAGATAGACATCCAATGCAACACACAGTTAAGTACTATGTACCAGAATGTTCTGTTGGTGCATACTGGAGAAAGAACAGTTTACAAACAAACAGGCCAAGAGCACCTACCTCTGCGTCTACAGTTTGCTCATCATACCACCTTTTATCATTGCTACATTTAAGCTTATGTATTTGCTAATGCAACATAAAACTACTTATTACTTTAATAGTCACATACCACTCAAAAGTGTAGAACACAATCATTTATTCCATCACTTCTTCATTGGTTGACATTTCATTTTTGCTTGGTTGGGTTCTTTTTACATCATTACAATAAATACACACACATATTTCAACTTACTGCCGTGGATTCTATTCTGCTCATAGGTGACCCTAGAGGACAGGGTAGCACTGCCCCTATAGGTTTCTGAGACTGTAACTCTTTACAGGAATAGAAAGCCTGTCTGCCTCCTCCAGAGCAACTGATGATTTTGAACAGATAACCTTGGGGTTAGCAGCCCAATGAAGAATCCACTATGATACCAGGGCTCCTGCTAAGCACTTATATATATCCTATGTCATAATGTCTTTATTTCTTCAGAAAAGTCAACTTTTAAAGTATATCTTTATGATACATATATTGAGATGATATGTTTGTTTATTGTTTGATAAATTCACCATATTATTTTCAATAAAAGGCTACAGCAATGATACCCTTCCCAGTGCCACAATGGTGAAGCGTTCCACTGCAACCCAAAAGGTTAGTGATTCAAATTCCCCAGCTCATTTTCAGGAAGAAATACTCATAGAGATCTGCCCTCATAAGGATTATAGCGGAGGAAGTCCTATGAGGGTTATCTACTGTCACATGGGGTCATAGCCATCAGAATTGACTCCGTGAACACAACAAGCTTATCATAAAGCTAATTTCCCTACATTTTACCAGCATTGGAAGTTTGAGTTTTTTAAGCTTTCATATTTTAAATAGATTAAAAAATAGTTCATTATGGAAATACGAAGGCAACTAAACATAGGGAAGGATATCAGGTCATTTTGAATAAAGGAGCCAGGAAAATGCACATGAAATCAATAATGACCAACTATCTCTTGCAAACTGCTGGCTCCATCTGTCATATGGAGTGGGATAAAGCAGGTGCCAGCCTTTGATAGGCCTGTTGTGAGGCTCAAGTGAGATAATGGGCACTCCAGTGTTCGAAACAGTTTGCAGGAGACTGAGAAATTCATCCAACTTAGCACAACTGGCAACATGGGAGAGCTGTGTGCTGTGCCATTAGTCTGCTCAGAGTCCCTTGGAATCTAACCGCTACACAGACTTCCCCTGCTGCCAGCAACATTTCCAGCCCCTTCTCCCTAGCCTGACTTCTATCCTTCGAGTGAAGACTGGACAAGTTGGTAGAATGAGGAAATATTTGAAGGATTTAGTTGCATAAGATAAAATGGCAGACATGACTAAAACGCTAAAGATGCCAAACTGCTGCCCCCAGATGTCTTATTGGGGAGCCAAAGACATCCTATTGCAGGACTAAAGACTATTTTCTAAGCCCTGGTGGCACCGTGGCTGAAGCACTCAGCTGCTAACCAAAAAGGACATTCATCCCCACCAGCCGCTCCACTGGAGAAAGGGGTGGCAAACTTCCATGAAGATTTGCAGCCTTAGAAACCTTAAGGGGCAGTCTCTCAGTCCAGGAGGGTCGATATGAGCAGGAATCAAGTCAACAGTACGGCGTTGTGGATTAGAACAGTTTTTAAATGACCTGATTTAATATCAGCAGGTATGGTATGGCCACCACATACACTCAGCGCCAGAGAGGGGAGTGATCATGCAAAGTTCCTACAATCCTACAGAATGTAATCGTCTAAAGAGAGCAGACTATTCAATACTGCAAACTGCCTGAAGATGAGGGAAACCCGTTTTCCTTTTGTAAAATAATTGAGGAACCGAGCCGTTTTGGAAAGAGTGTCCTAGCAGAAACAATACTTGCAGTAAATAGTAAATGGAACTACCTACCCTAGCTGAACAAAAATGAGCATCTGTTCTTCTCCACCCTTCTGGCCTTTTTGAACTCCCGCTCGCTCGGCCTGTCCCAGGTGCGTTCACCGGCACTGGTACTGTCCACACTGGTGGTGCTGAAGCAGGTGTTCCAAGATCGTTTACTGAACTCTGCCAACAACGCCCCCAATACCCTTGGTCTCTCCTTGCTTCCAACATCATGAGCTGTCAGCTAACTTGGCCCAGGAAGACTCTGCGCTCATGCTGACTGTGCATATTTAGACTTTGCCCTATTGCATTGTGTCCTACCGATAACCTTTTGACCCATCCCTCGGCTTGGCCTCTGCTACCAGCAGAGCCTTAAACCAGAGTCGGATTCGCTCAGTAAGGTAGGTTTACTTGTGCTTATTACAAATCAGCAGCGAACGATTTCACACTTGTCACCACATCAAAGAGTCCGCTTGTCGATCTAGCTGGCTTTTGTCTCTCTCCCCACCCCCCAGCTGCTCCCTGCAGAACCAGGAAGCCTCTTTGCACACCGACAGTCCCTGACAGGGATAGAGCACCCACTAAGAAGGTTCTTCCTCCTCGATGTGGTGAAACTGTTCCCTACCGATTCGAGAGCAAGCTCAATTGGGTGCTGGTGACTGTGCTTATTGGATGACGCACCTCCCCATGACATGTCAATTGCCTTTTACAAAGTTAATAAGTTATTAAGTTCATCCTTCCCCGATCTCTGCAAAGATATGGTTCTCCATACCGTGTCACGCTCCGCATCGTGAAAACACACACTCGCGCGCCCCAAAGGAAGTGTAAATGCTTGACGACCGGGTCGTGTGTGTGTGTTTGTTGACGTGATGTGCCGTTCACGCTAGATGGGATATTGCCATTTCTCTCGGCCATTTTCCCTAAGCTGGGTGAGGACTCCTATTTCCTGACGACGTTGAAATCACTGCCGAGCGGCTTCCTGCCCGGCTTCCCCTCTCCGTCCCCGGGCGATCTCCTGCCCGCCGGGGGCCCGGGCGCGCGGTGGCGTCCACCTCCCTTGGGTGTCCCAGGTGGTGTCCCGATTCCGGACCGAGGGCGCGCTCCCCGCTGCAATCGTCGCCTCCCTCCGGCGCCCGCGCCCTGGTCCTCGCGCGGGCCCAGGCCTCCCCGGGTCCTCGGCACGGCCCGCCCCGCGCCGCCCTAGGAGGAGCCAACGAGCCCGCTAACCCAGCGGATGGCGATGGCGCGTCAACAGGCTTAACTCTCTCCGCCCCGCT